TGTTTGAATAGCTGTCGCTTCGCGACTGGGGCAATTTTGGAAAATTTTGAAAACTCTCGTGCAATTAATCCTTAATAGTACTTGGCCTCATGTGATTACCTGTACTAATATCTCTACCTTAACCAGCCAACAGGTAATTAGCTTACTCAGACTTTTCAGGTTGAAGCTGTTATCTTGATCTAACAGCGAAATTTTTGTAACTGATTCACAAGGAAATGTGTAGCAGCTAGAGAGGAGAATTAACAATCAAATCATGGGAGTCAAAGGGTTTTTATACTTTCTTCCATTTACTGCTTACTATAGATAAATTGATGGATGCTCATCATAATCATAAAAGCTGATTAATTGTTAATTTAATCGACCTGCTCTATGGAAAGGTTGGTTTCCAGTTGTCCTTTTTTTAACGAGATGAAAAGTAGGCACACAAGGTGTTTAATTTTCATTTTATTATTATCATTATTACTATTATTATTATCAGTGCTAGTATATAAAGTAGAGGATTGTTGAGGTGTATCTGTTGAATAGGAAATATGAAAGTTACAAGTAGACGATAATATTCCTTTTGTTACAGATATGAATATATACTATTTTTGTTGTTGTATTTTTACAAGAACTATCAGGTGTTAAATTACCGTCATACTTTCATTGTGAATAGATTTTAAGTGTAGATAATAAATGTCAGAATGTAAAATTTTTTAGAGTCAGGTCACCCTCTTTCGAGGAAGGTTTTGGAATGTCACGCAACGCCCTGTGACATTCTAAAAACAAAGGAGGAAAGCCAGCGATACGTCAGTGAGCCAGCCAGTTAACGAATCAGTCTTCAAGCTAGCCAGTCTGTGTGTTTACATATTCTTGAGGTAGTCATTTAAACAGAACCAGCTAGTCTATGACTCAGTTTAATATACTGATCTGTGAAAAGGGTCCAAATCAGAGGTAGATTAGACCAAAAACAGAACAGAGTTTGATAGCTGTGTATTAACCATCCGTCTTAAAAAAAAAAAAAATAGGTAAAGATATCACCGCCACAATCATCATTTATCGTCATTGTTATTACATGTATAATTTTCATCATCAAAGTCTTTTTTGTCAGTCGTGATTTCTCCACTTCCTTGCTGAACTAACGTTTTATTTAATTTCCAATGTTCAGTCATTTTCCTTGCCCTCACTTCAGCTCCATGGCAACGTCTTGACTTTCGGCCACATTAACATGCTCACCCTTAAATTTGTCTCTACGATCATAACCGCACCCCCCCCCCCCATTTGCCTCCTTCGTCTCCTCTCTTGTCACCCTTAGATTTGACAATATTGATCTTGCTGTTATCATCATAGCTCCACAAAATTCGCCCTTTTCCCTTGTTTCTTTTGCGTTTAATGGCATCTTTCAACTTTTCACAGGCTTATTCATGATCGGTTTCTTGTTTTATTTTGTTTTTTTGTCCGCACAAAACCTTGCCTCACCCACTCCTCCCTTACCCATCGTTGTTTATTTCCTTTCCCCGCAGTTGCAGAAGGAGGCATCCCTATCGGACGCAACACAGACAACAGGTAACAAACGTTTATCAACCTTCTGTGAAGATTACATGGGTATTGAATAACTAAAGCATTCGTAGTAATTTCATTTTGACTTTTAATTTGACTACGGTTCACCGAATACTGTCACTTCCAAGAACTCGAGGGTCTCGGTGTTTAAATCCACGTGGTGTGGCCTCAAGCTCACAGTGGCAAGGTCACCATTTCAGTCGTGCAGATTTCAGCCGTTTCCCTCCAATTTGAACGGTTTCATCCTAATGTAGATTGCTCCGTCCACTTTTTTTTCCTGCTCCGTCTGATTTTGGAAGTTATCTTTGAATTTTTTCAACAAATCTTGGAGATGTGAGAGAGCGTAGGGCGATTTCAATTCAGTTTTTACTGAGCAATTCGCCAAATGTTACCACGGTATTGCTGCTTAATCACTAGAGGTGCTAGAGACTAACTGAAAATCATTTCTTGATTAGCACGCCCGCCATCCTCTCCTTCGCCTGCTCCTCGAACTCAAACTTCTGGTACGTTTAAAAGCTTCTTTGTAGTTTAGATTAGCTTATTTACACTGTGTTTAGGTCCGGGTTTACACGTTAATGAGGTGTTATATTGCAAAAAGATCATTAGAATTACTGTTGTTTGTTTTCTCTGCTCGACCGTAAAAAAGCTAAAATTCACAAAGAAAATCTAGTGCCACGCCTCGTCTCGCCTCGTCTCGTCTCAACCCACCCTCTTCAAATATCTAAACAACTTGAATTCCTTATATGAATTACCAATTAGTGAAAATGTTACAGCATATTATACCCAGGAAAATTAACTTAACACAACTTTTGTTGGCATAATTCGAAAACTTTTGCTGTTATTCAATTTTAACTCAACTTAACTCTGGTTTTGTTTTCCTTTTTTTGTAGCCATACCACCTCCGCCCCAGGCCCCCGCGCCACCACCTCCACCTCCTTCCCAGCCTCCTGCTCAGAAAGCTGCCCCTCCGCCAAAATCATCAGAACGAGGCGCATTATTAAGCTCCATCTGCGATTTTAAGAAAGGCAAATTAAAAAAGGCTGAGACTAATGACAAAAGCAAACCCAAATTATAGGGTGGTACAATTTAATATCATCGCTTGAAACCAACTGGCCAAACTGGTCCATTTATAAGGATAATTTGGCTATCACTCCATATTTTCTTCTCAAATTCTGTTCTCAAGTTTTAACATGACATAAATTATTGGTCATTATAATAATGATGTTAACAGCAAAGATGTAAAGTCCCCAAGAACATTTTTATAGGTGTGTTCGTTTTTTTTGTAATGTGTGATTTGGTTTTGTTCTATTTTTCGAAATATTGTTATTACTATTATTATTATAGTTAATATTATCGTCAATGTTATCGTTCATGTCATATTATTTTTCACTATGATTGAATTGCCTGGTGGAGAAGCTCCGATGATAAGCGCCCGTTGAAGATCAGGAAAGGTGTTAGGTATCAGTTCTAAGATTAGATATTATATTTTCATGATACGTTGAACAAATTGTTTTTTTGTTTGTTTGTTTTGTTTTGTTTGTTTTTTTTATGGCAGTTAAAGCTGACGCAGCGTAACAAGGAAAACAAAAATATCAAAATCAAAGAAAGGATGATTCTGCTTTATTATGTAAAGTGGCATACCTCAAGAATTGATTGTTAGCACCAATTACGTTAGACGCAAATCTAGAACCTAGCCGCGAATAGGAGAACAATCTTGCTGTTTTAAAAAATTAAGAAAATGTGATCTAGTTTAGTGGCAGCCATTGTGGATCTTATTCGATGTATGTTCGAACAATGCAAAGTTATTTATCTTTTTAATGGTGCATCTGATTTATCCTGTGACTGTGAAAATCTTCTTTTGTTTTAGTGTCCAATAATTTCCAAATCCCCTTAGCTTGAAAGAAATGCTTCAATGAAGTCCAATGTCACATGTTTACAGTACGTATAAAACTTATTTACGATTAACAAATGCTCTAGTTCCATTCGCAATGTCACGTTCGTTGTGTGCGAAAAGCTTTTATGGTCATTCCAGTTACTTTTTCAGACTCTCTCTCATTCTCGTTCCCATAGCTCAATGGTTTTCTCTAGCCGATTGGACCTTTGGACGAGAAACCGAGGGACTTTGGGGACGGGAGTGGTTCTTTTTGTAAAGGAAAGAGAGGGCCTGGGAACGAAGCTGTCTTAATTATGCACACGGTAGTAATGATAAATGCTAAAAGCACTGAAGATGCTGAATGTGAAAAACTCGATTTTTAGTACAAGTGTAACCAAAAAATTTATTAATTAAACGAAAATTAGAAATAAATAATACGAATGATTTAGTTATCTCCTAATCTTGTACCCAGATCCTACCGTTTAACTATAACTGAAAGGTACCGAAATCGAACTTTACTGGACCTTTATATTATACCGCTTGGCCGTGGAAGGTCTAGGTACGAGACTAGCTGTCTCCTGCTGATGTGCTCATATGGTCATTGGAATTTGGGGCTGACTCGTCTCCAGTCTTCTTTCGTTGTTGTTGGGAAGGGCAAGGAAGATGGGATGGAACTGTACCACATTGATCGAAGTTTGTGTAAGCAAATTAAGGTAACCTTAAAGCCCAATCAAAAGAGTGGAAAATATCACAAGAAGCCAAAGAGAATTCAAAATAGATTTGATAGTTTCCCCAAATTTCGTCGCCCCCTAGTAAAGTTCATTCGCACCGAAGTATGGTTGCGTCTCCCCTAATTTAAGGTTGCGTCGACCTCAGCTTTTGACCTAAGTTAAAAAAAGATTTCAAACGTATTATCTTTCTTTGGGCGGACTAGGAAGCGGGAGAGAAGACGGCACTCCTGCTCTTAAGGCCTGTTCCCACCTCACTGGACGAAAAGGAGTACAAAAGCAGGTCTCGTCAAAACAAACACTAAATGGTTCTTTTAGGACCATTCTCAGCTAAATTAAGCAAACCCAGCAACCCCATAAATCACCTCACTAAAACTTACTCAAAAGACAACCACACCCGGTACCTTTGCGACGCCGACGTTTATTCATTCTTTAACAAAACCTATGAGCATGCGCATATTGGCTACTATTTCAGAGTGACATCCAAGCTAGTAGATACCATAACCAATCCACGTACATAAACTTGAAATATATGTTACAAAAAGGCTAAATACATGTAAGTCCGTAAGCATTGTAAGTAAGGAATGCGCTATATACAATGATGCTGTAATAGTCCATTTTACAGCTGTGTGTGTGCCAAGCCTTTGAACAGGAGTGAGGCTAAGGGTGACCATGTTATGATACAAACCTTGCTGCTTTTCAAGTGTAAATTGCTTTGATATTACGCAAACTAGATACTGGTCTCTATCACAACAATGTCATCTTCAGCCTCACTCAAAATCAAAGGCTTGGCAACTAAGTACATACCTGTAAAATGGCCTATTGCTATAAAGTGCAACCAAGATGCCACGCATCAGCTATAAATACAAACAAACAAACAAACAAACAAAGAAATAAAGGAAACGAAAAGATCGTTCTCCGCTTCAGCCACTAGTTAGGTGGTTAGATTGTTTAGTCATAGTAAATCGTTTCTTATTCTCGAAAAAGGGGGGGGGGGGAGAAGAGGGGGTAAGGGGAGGGAAGGGTTGAACGCACCTCCTTACGCTATACCCTGCTTTTTAGCTGCAAGCAATTAGCGTTATATCTAAGGTTGCACTCCATAACTTCATGTCGATATAGATATTTTCATCACCCCCACGATGATCTAATAAAGGAAGCTCTTCTAACGGTAAACGACGCGAAATGCTACTCACGTGAAGGAATGTAAATGACGTGTATTCTATAAAAGAGACTTCGAGATGGCTTCAATATTCTTTGATTCGAACCTGGGAGAGAACTGGGTCTTGTGCATCGAATTGAGGCTTCATATTCTAAACCAAAATCCCGTGTCCTCTACCCCTGTTATCATTTTGCTCTTTTTGTAATAAGAACGATAATAATAATAATATATAGTATATAAATTCAAATCTAAATCTATTCTTTCTAAAACCTAATCCGATATATTTCCTTAAACGTTAAATGGAGAGCAACGCATTGTATCTGTGAAGTGTTACACTTTCATTAAGCGATGTTTAGATATACTTTTTAAGCTAGCTTACATTATCATTTTAGAATGCAAAGCCAATTTATATAAATAGGAGATTCATTTTTAAGAAAATGTAGAATGTTCTAAATCATTGTCAGTACATAGGCAACTGCGCACCTACCCCTCCCCTAACCCAGCAATAGTCAACTGAAAACAACTGAGGGTTAATGTAGGGTTAGGGGAGGGGAAGGTGCAGAGTAGCTCAGATACTGAAATTGATCCAAGAGTTTTAACTATGGCGTTTGCTCAGAGAGTTTCCCAAGGGTCATGAAAGCCTAACTAGTCCGTTATCTCTTGTTTTACACTAGTTTCGCATTCAGATCCCATGTTGAGCAACGCCTCAGGCGAATTAAATCCTCCAGTCTCCTCAGTTTCCATATCTTGGCTCGTCCCAGGGAAAAGATCTTCTCGCAAATCCTCTTTCGCGTCACCCTCTTTCGCACCAGATTCTTCGGCTGTTACTTCGTTTTCGGTCGGCCCCGATCCATTTTCTTCGGCATCAGCAGCCTCCTTCTGTGTCTTATCATCGGAAGGCGAGCTGTTTTCGGAGATGCTCGACAATGTTGCGGACGTTGTACTCGGGCCCTTTTGTTTGGCGTGCCATCGTTTATGTTTGTTGAAGTTCGACGGGTCACTAAATTTCCTCGGGCACTCCTTGCACTTAAACGGTCGGTCGCCAGTGTGAACTCGGACGTGGATTTTTAAACTACTAGAGCTGAAGAAAGTTTTGTTACAATGCTCACACTTGTACTTCTTTTCACCGGTGTGCTTAAGAAGGTGTGACTTGAGAGAAGTGTACTTGGTGAAGCTGGAATTGCACTCCTCGCACGAATAATTCTTTCCTGTGCGGGCTACCTTACCTCCCCGCTCTTCTACGTAAGCGTCATTGAGCTCAATATCACCTCCAACCAGTTGTGTACCTTCTTGAAATTCACACACATGCAGTCGCAGTTCCTCTGCTTCGTAGAAAGTAGCACTGCACCTTGAGCAACTGTAGGGCTTCTCCGAATTATCTTCTTGAGTATGCGACAACAAGTGCACTTTAAGCCGATCGCCTCTCGTGTACTGCTTCCCACAGAAGTGACACACGTGCGGTTTCTGACCACTGTGACGTAGCATGTGACGTTTTAGATCCACGGCTTGCGTGAAGCGGCGGGAACAAACGTGACACTCGAACGGCCGCGCACCCGTGTGCACCAGAAGATGGCGTTTTAAACGGCTAGAGAACGAAAACTCTTTGTCACACTTTTTACATCTGTAAACCTTCTGACCAGAGGAAGTCACAAACTCTTCTGTAAGTTCTTCTTCTGTAAGGCCAGTTTCCTTTGCACGCACGGGTCGACCTACATCAAAAAACAAATGGCGAATCGTAAGGAAATATTATATTTTACTTCTAGACGTATAATCCTTTCAACTCTTTTTTAAGCAATACCTCAGAAGTTTCACTGGACGCTCCGTTTATTTATTGGACTCTAGAGACATTTTAAAGGAAAATAAAACACCCTTAAGAAATTCGGATCAAGGTTAGTATGTGAACAACTGTACCCCATCCCCTCCCCTAACCCAACATTTACCCCACCTTGTTATCATTTGACTGTTATTGAGTCAGGGGAGGGGTAGGTGCACAATTGTTCAGATACTGACATTGATCCAAAAAGGATTGATCCAAAATTTGTATGACAAAATGTCTGGGTTTTAGTAAAATACTTTCGATAATCCATAGTAAAAATTTCCCTGTTCTGTTGCTTTGCCAATCGAAAATAATCTTTTTGACTGTGCAGCGCCGTGTAAGAATTTTTTAATAAGCTACAAAGGTAACGCAATTATGAAGAAGAGAGGAGAAAATAAAAGGATGCCATTTCTAGATGGCTTAAGGACAGAGCTTTCGGTGGAAAGCTTGTTTGATATCTAAATACAAGACACATACCTCTGTCCTTAAGATGCACCACAAGTGGTGGAGGCTGTCCCAGTCCATTTTTGCTCCTCGTCATGTGGACTGGAGCCTGGGGGGAAGCAGCTGGTTGAATAGCCGTTAGTCCTCTCAGCCTCGTCCCTGTCCATTGTTGGTCGACGTGTGACGAGCCGATACTGGGTGCTGGAGACGACTGATTGGGGTGTTGGTGGGAAAGAACTGGTGCGGGGTTCACCACTGCTGCGGATGGCATCTGCGCATAGACGCTGGTCGCCATGGTCGGCGGGTTCACATTTTCGGCCTGTTCACTCACCGTTCCATTCCAAGAGTTGAAATTAGGCGTAGGTTGGACTACCACAGGACTATGCGAGCGTAGAGCTTCGGCAACAGAGATACTAACGACAGGGTTGGAGAAGTCGTGGAAATTGGAGGTGGGAGGGGCTTCTATATGAACAGGGAAGGATGATGGAGGGACGCTGTAAACTTGTTCTGGAACGACTACTGGAATATCCGGACTTACGGATTCTCCTTCAGAGGAGAAGTTGGACACTCGACGAGCGATCCCTTTTCTGTCGTGTTTCCTGCAAACAAAAAAATAAGTACACATTTAACCCTTTCAATCCGTAGATATGATGAGTAAATCTCCTTTCTTGCCTCCATTTAATTCCAAACCGGTTAATAAGAGAGTTTAGGGTGACATGAAGGTGAGGCAACTCACTTTCGCTGATAATTTTCCTTTATTCCTATCACCTGACAGCATTATAATGGAATGATGTTGCAAAGAGATACTAAAATTACATCAGTTCTCTTTAATTACAACTTGAAAGAACACTTTAAGGGTATTTAAGGGTATTTTAGTCTTGGAGCGATTCTTTCAAGAGACTGTTTCGATGAAGGATTTAGAATTAGCGACAGAAACTACATGGCATCGGAACCCAAATAAAGAAAGAGCAACATCCTATAGTTGAACAATCTTTAAAATTTCCTTAACGCGAAACCGGAATTTAATGACTTGGAATTTTTGGTAGAACAGGCAACAGGGAACGCTTTATCTACAATCTTATCAGATTAAATTACCTTCGTGTGGGACTATGAATGGAGCTATTCTCATCAGGACTGTCAAAAACCTGCAGAAAAACATAATGGAAATAACGTAGGTATTACTAAATACGAAACAGTGACTAGATCGAGCGAAAATAAGAACGAACGAACTGCTATAAAACAAACAAACGTCGAGGGAGAAATGAAGCGAGCGAAGGAACAAACGAACGAAGGAAAAAAAGGGTAAGTTTCTTAAGAAATTGTGGTATTGTGTCAGTAGTGGTATAAATAGATAATTTGGTTTATCAACTGAGTTGATAGTTTAACTTAGCCACCGTAAAGAGTTTCTAAAACTGACGTTTCGAGCTTTGGCCAGGCCTCAGAGCGAATAGAAAGAAAGGAACACACGAATAAACAAATTAATTAAAAAACGAGCGTTTTAACAACCGAACAAATGAAACAGCGAACAAACAACAAGGAAATAAATGAACGAGCGACCAAATAAACAAACTGCATAACGAACGAACGAGTGGCTTTTTTTTTCAGATCTATCGTCGGGCTTTTCCCGATCACACTTAACGGACCACTATCTACCGTCATTACCTCTCCGTTCGTAACAGGGCTGACCGCACTTGTCTGTCCGTGAGTTTGAAGCTGAACACAGTCCTTGGCTGCTTTGTGTTTCAGGTATTTCTGTAGACTGGTAAACATTCGTTTGCATTTCCCACATTGGAATAGGTCTGGTTCGCTTTCCTCTCCCTCGGACTCATGCCCTGAAAAGAAAATATGAAACGAGCTAACAACTGAGCTAACAATACCTAAGGTTTCATGAGTTCAAATCCCGTACAGGCCTAATTTTTTTCAGGCCTTACTTTCACTACTGCTCAAGTAGTGTACATTACTGCGAGGATCACTTTCATTCACGTCTTTATCCGCAGTTCAAATATATGACTTTCGTATATTCTTAGCCGTTTACATTACCTAAAATACATCACTTACGATACGTTACTTTCAATGGCCTGTAAGCAGCTTTTGCTCTATAATCGGTTTTACAAAGAACGCAATTAGAGAGGACTTGTGCCAATTTGTGATTGGATAGAGTCGTTCTTTTCTGACTTTTCTTTTCCAGTCAGAGAAGAGAGCGAATATTTAAGCGCACTAAGTATTAAATGCAACAGTTTGCCACTAAGAAATAGATGTATTTCATTTTGATCTGATTTTATGCCGTACTTTTTGGTAATAAATTTCTGGTACTCGTTGAAAAGGAGGGGAAGCCTGGGTACAACGTTTTCCCTAAAATTTTGATTAACATACCAAGCAAATAATCGTCTCATGAATCTAAAACGCACAAATCAAATGCTATACGAACTAAACAGCGAATTGTTCAAACATAACTGGATAGCCTCCTGATAGCTATGGATTCCGGCTGGCTTTCCTTTGGCAATTTTAAATATCTCTCATTAGATGTCTGATCTATGATCGATCTTTTATTTTCTTCCATTGTTGGCTGTAAAAAATAATTGAAACCACTACAAAACACTGAAACAGCCTTCACGAAATACTAAAATACGTTGTTGTTGTAAATTACGAATTAAATCACTTTCTAATGTCTTTTCCAAGCAAAGTACAATAATTTCCGTACCACCTACCCCTTCGACAACCTTTAGGCAAGTTGAATACGTAGATCTTGGTTTTCTTTGGCATAATTACTCTCGAGGTTCTGTTGCGAGACACCGTCATTATCATAAACACTCATCTCTGGCCAAAGCGATCGAAGTTTCACCTATTGTAGCGAACAGTGCACTCTGGGATTGTATTTCTACTTTCGTATAAGTTCGTGATTACCCGAGTAGAGGCCGGAAATTTAACTGACCAATCACTAGACTGTACGAACAAACGAAATCGAAGCCGAATGATAATACGACCGTCTTTTATCCAACATGTTTGAGAGGTTTACACGTGCGGTCCAGTTTGTTTCATTCGTATACTAATTTTTACCATCTTTGATAAGCGACTTTGTTAGTAGAGGTGAGTTAGATCAACCAAAGAACCCTCTTTAATTAAAGGTTGATTGAATAGCTTTTTTTTTTTTGATGGGGTAATTTTGAATAAGGATCGAAAGTCTTAAATCGATTGTTCAAATCGTCAACCAGATCCAGTAGCAATTTTTCTTTCCTTTGAATCTGTAACAGTGTGAAACAACTGTATTGCACTTAATTAATGTTACAGAAAGAGCGACATCTTTATTTTTGACCAGGTTAATGACTACCAAAAGCTTTGACTGGCAGAAAAGGACGTGTTTTTGAAGTTGATAACTTAATTCTCAAATTAAATTACAAAAGGAAAAAATTGGAAAAAGCGAAGTAAATGTTTGCTTTTTTTTTTAATTCGTGTGTATAGATCTATAAACAAGTTTGCTTATGATACAGACTAATTTCAAAAGGTCACAGTTATCATTGTTTCACAGGATGGAAATAAGATTTGCTAGTCATTAATGCAGGAGTAGTATAAACCGTATTAAATATAATTTCCTTGTTATTTAAGCATGGTAATCTGGTTGTATATGAAGTTTGGGACTCTCCCTAGGATTTCATAATGTGGAAAATAGCAACAAAGAACTTTTCTTATTACACATAACGTCTGATTTCTCAGGATAGTGTAATTGTTAAGCATGATCAGTCAAACATTTCACACAAATTCTGACCATAATCAAAACTATGACAAAATTCTTGAACGTGATTGGTTATCACCAGCTCGATTTGAGCACTTATAGGACAGTGTGCACATCATGCTTGTAATTGGACAGTGTAATTGCACAGTTAAAGGGACAGTTAACACATCATACCTTTGTAAGTGGACAGAATGCATCATGAGTGTGCGCTGTTGTCTTGCATTTTGCCGAGTTAAGAGTTGGTTTTTTTTTTATGAAAATGTACAACCGATGTCTAATTTCTTTCTCAAATTTTGTCATAGTTTTGATTAAATGGTATCAGGACTTCATGTCATCTAATTCTGTATGTAATCATACTCATGATTAACAAATTGGACTCCTGCTTTGTGCTCATCCAATTTTGTTAATCATTTGTATGATTACAGATGGAATTGGACTCCACTCGGTCCTATTACCATTATTTATAATTTCTTGATGAGATACAAATTAAGTTTAAATGGTCTTAGTTTCCTAGTGTACCACCACTTAAAAGGTGAAAAATTTTTGTAATTCTCTGATGTCCATATTTTAGTTTCTCTGAACTAGCTTGCTTTAGTTGTACTTCAGTTGTAGGTTAATTTTGTTAGTGATTTCAGAGAAGGTTAGCTTGTGTGCTGGCTCTTATTGTTGCTGTGGCACTTGCAGCCAAGCCCCTGAGACTTGAGGTGGCAAGAAACTGTAAGGTGTTTAGCACTAGAGTTTAACACTGCTTAATGTGCAGAATGCAACCATCGATTTATGGATGTATGCAGGAGGATGTTAAAGAAGTGTTAGATTCACACAAGGTGATAGCGAAGTGCCATTCTAGTTTTTTGAGTGCTAAGCAAACCTTCCAAGTGCTTTTGATAACTTGATGGTTGAATGCTGCGTTCTAACCATTACTTAAGTAACATCGAGACTTTTAAACATCTTTTGTTTCATGTAGAAAAAAAAGCAAAACAAAGTGATTTCAGATTGCAACCCACAGGCATGGATGGAGTGTTTTAGCCAATCAGAGCATGCTCTTTTGTAAGCTTATGTTATAAAAAGTGTTAATGGATATGGCGCTTTTGAAATCCTTCATTATTATTAATTAATCTTATTGATATATTTCACATGGTCAGTTTAAATGCCAGCCCAAAATGCCGTAGCCGCTTTTGTTGCAGCTCCTTTGAGAGCCTACATACAGGCTAAGAAAGGGTTAAAAAAAAAAATCACCAAGTCACACAGTTTGTGATAACAAAATCAAATATTCAGTCTTACCTCCATTCCCAAGGTGAAACATGACATTGGAATGGTCTATTCCTGAAATCTAGAAAAAGTGGAAATGCAATTTACTTGAAGGCTGAAGACCTAAGATTCAGAGAATTGCAGTGATGATAGATTTGATCCAGTTACAGCTCAGTTTTTATATATATGGACCTTGATTTCCTTAGTAACAGTCCACAGACATCACTGACGAGTATAAATGGTTTTTGCAATGTCAGTTGGTCTATGATTTTAGTGGTTTTCTTGATATTTTTTACTTCAACATGATGTTTTTTATTACCCTATTTAGAGAGTCTTGATGTGATTGACCATCAGGCCTTGGTTGTTTGAAGGTCGAATGATATTATGGATAATGCTATCCAGTGGATGGTGCAGTACATTTTGTGATCACTTACCAGCTATATAGCAATTTATGCGTAGGATAGCGTTATTTATCCCCTATACAACTATGCCCAGGTGTAAACATCAACAAATTTTGATGGGTAGTGGTTTGAAAAGGTTAACCGTAAAAATTTTCCTCCTATCACAATGCAAAGATATTAACTGTCAGCTGCAATATGGCCAAAGTTTTAACAGTTGGCCATAAGAGCCATCTCTCCCTTGAGACCCCCTATTTCTTTAGCCATTCATGTTGGTGGTCAGTTAGTATATATATTATATATAGTTACTATATATGAAAAACTTAGGGGCTTCTGATTGGCCAAAAACAAGTGCCTTTTTCATGTAACACAAGTGCAAAGTAACACTGACATGCTGTCTGCCTTGACTTCCTGTGATGGCTTTTTTTCATGTAAACTATTTATAAGCAAAAATTTGATTTCTCATCCAATTTTGTGTAAGTTGTAAATGTTTCAAAGACTACAAATCTCACTTGCCCCTAACTGCCTTTGCAGTTTAAGTCTTCTTTGAAAAACTAACTTGTGCTTATTAACACCAAATTGCACTTGAAATTATCACTTACACTTATCCTATATATAATGTGACTATCACATGCATGTAACTGCTTTAAAAAATTTATGCTCCCCAAGGAGTTTTGAAATCCATAAGCTTGGAAATATAATTTCAAGCATTCTAGATATTAAAGAGAGTGCTTGCAGTTGAGAGGTCTTATAGGTGGCAATAGATTGCTTGTTTACAGGATGATGAAGTTATCCTTGTGGTGTTCAATCACTAGAACATTTTTATCACTTCATACAGTGAAAGGGAAACTTTCAGTTTTTATTGTTGTTATTCACTGCTTACAGACACAATTTTACTTATTTAAACAAAACTTGTCAGCAGTGACGCTGTCAGCATTACATTAGTACAAAATTTATTGATCTCTATCAAATATGTCAAAAGTGTCAACAGAATTCAATTGTTATACCTCCCTAGCTAAACAAAGGCTGCAAAATTCAAGATATTAGGTCAATAGGACTGCTTGTCATATGCTTTATGGTTGAACACCTAAATTTGTTTTTCTTTGTTGGCATGTGTGTTTGTTAAGGAATTGGGGTGCACTTGTGAGAATCATTTCTTTAACTGATTTTTATCCACAGGTCAACTGAAATTTAATTCATTTCAAGTTGTTATCAAATTCCTCTGTGGGAAAGGGAACTGCCAAAAATTTGCCGCCCTGCTAATTTGCTTAATTTTCATTCATAAGTCAAGGAAATTGTTACTAACATTATTTCTGTTGATTTGTTAGTTATTGTTGAACTGCATTGGTTTATATTTATGCGAAGCACATGGTGGGTTCTTCATATCCTCGAATTGTTTCTCAACCATGTGAGTGTTCACATGGGTCCTGGAAAACCTTGTCTACTTGGTATTGCTTTTATATCATGAAGAGAAATTCTGTTTCGGTCACTCATGGAAGTTAATGGTTTAATGTTGCCTAAAGTGGTCCTTCACCTATGAGTGTTTGAATGAATACTTAGTGTGAGCATTCAAATAACAATTACTGAGCATAACTTCCAGGTTTGATTTTGACAACAATTCACCATTTTGAGGAAAGCCTCTGAAAAGTTGTGTCTTTTTTTTTTAATTTTAATTATTTTGTTCAGTTAGAATACCCTATGGTACTGCAAGTTTTGGGGATTTGGAGTTTTATGAGATGTGCATTGATTGAAATCTTGCAAGCCCTATCTATGTGGTATACAGACTTTGTTGTTCATTATACACAAAGGTATCAGTCATGAGTTGTCACAAATTCTAGTAGGCTAATGTATTCACTGAATTGAATTGAATTCAATCATGAACTTTGAAGTTCTTTCTATGAATAATTCACTGTTTATTAACACAGGAAAGAGGTTATAAGCCTACAGATATTAGAGATTGTCATTTAGATTCTCAAGTGTCAGTGGGGTGTAAGATAATGTTATAAATAAAAACTAATGATCCCTCTGTTTATACAATTGTCTTCTTCATTCTTTCTACAATACTTTGTTCAGGGAAAGGTTACTTGCTGTCAAGCCCTCAAATCATTGGGAATAAAAGTTTTGCACAACCAGTTGTGCATATTATTGATTTCAAAACAGAACCAGAACTTTTATTGATGTTTCTCTTTCACTTGGGGTGGACTGTTCTTTTTAAATAATCCAATATTATTTTACTATAATAACTTTTCACCTTACATTGATAATCCTGTTAAGTTCTGATGTCTGTGCAATTTTTGCTTCAGAAATTACATTTTTGTCATTACTGATATGAAAACTAGATGTAATCTGGTAATGAGACCCAGGTGGCAGGCTATTCTAGATTTTTCTGTCTCACAAGGGACTCTCAAACCATATTAAAGTTAAAATATGCAGACTTATCCTCATGGGGAAGATGGTCATTAGTTGCAAAGAAAAATTTAAAGTGTGGGTAGTTCGCCAAGAAGAAGAAAGAAACACAACTGAGTGCACCAAAAAAGTCTTAAATTTCTGTAATTTCCATTTCTTAACTTACCACATGTTAATTTTCCTACAAGAAAAAAAGAAATAAAAGCAACATCCACAAGTCCTGGGTGCAAGAGGCTAAACGATAGACCTAGAAGTCTAGACAATTTTGCAAATATACAGACAGGGCTTTACGTGTGATAGTAATCCTTTTTGCGTAAGCACTTGAACTTACATAGGATAAATTCTCTGTCTATAGCTGCACTTTTTCTGACAAGAATCAATCTTATCAAAACAGAAATTACATGTAGTTAACACACCCACTCTAATAGAGCTACATCAATACAGAGACAGAGACATAAACAATTCACTGCAGTTGAAGTTGACATAAACAATTTAAGATGTATGTTTATATTCCAAGACCTGACATGTAAAACTTGACATTTATTCTGTAGTATTATATTCCACAGTAAACCAAGATCCAGTTGCAGTGGTATAGTGGCATTTTTTGGTCTAATCCCTAATCAACACTCAAGCTGGCATTGTTGTTGTTGTTTTTTTCTTATCCTCTAAAATGCAAAAACTAGAGCTTCAAAATGTGGAAAAAATTGCAAAAAAGGAAACATTGAAACACCATGGGAAATAATGACATAAACCAAAACTTGAGAACTCTCTTATACTCTCAGAAGTAGAAATGAAATTTTGCATTCTGACAAGTGAGTTAAGGAGAGCAATTGTTTCCTAGATTCTATAATTGATATGTTTAAAATACTGCAAGGAACTAAGTAGGAAGGAAAAAAAAGTACATAAAAGCTGCAAAATTTCAGGTCGCACTGAGGAGGTAGAACATAATTTCTCAGAACCCTTTATATGGACTCTGCTATTTTGTAAACGTAACATCTGACGTCCAAAAACTTTCAAACTAGTCTGAGCCATAATTTATTTTCAGTATTTATACATCTGGACATACCATATCAGTATTAAGGTTGCAAACAACATTTAATGCGATAACAACAAAATATAAAATGTGTTTCACGAGTTTAACGCTAAGATTGGCGTGTAAAAAAATATCCAAGATGCCGTAGCCTCCGTCTTGCGATCTGGGCAGGAATCACTTACACCAGCCCAAATAACAAATAATGATAATGGAAAGCGTTTGTCGACATACTTGTAGCCAATAGGACATTGACATACTTGTAGTCAGACAGTTTTAATGAGTGTCATGGCTAAGAACATTTACATATCGTGTTAACAAGGATCGAATTGCATGTGCCCTATTATCTTTAGAGACACACGAACAACTATATGATGTATTGTGTACGCGGAGATCTTCGCCTCGAGATATTAATTAAACGAGAAATGTTACCGACACCAACGAAAACACGTGCTTTGACTAAGTCGCTGCAAGTTCTCAGATTATTTTTGACCTATTTCTAAAATTTCTCTTTCTCTTTGTAACATCCGGAATTATTTTTAACAAGCGCGAATATTGTCGAATGACAGGCTTCCTGAGAGAAAACCACAGTAGAGTCTTCGATTTCAACTGCGGCGAAGCGCGAACAAAGAAATAAAGCTTTATTATGGTGTACAAGTTTATTGAAATTCGTATGTAAATTTGTACAAAAATAACAAAGCCCTCGAAAGCAGATCTAGTCAAGCGACAAAAGTGGTGGTAAATAAAAATCATGTTAGACAGACTTTCGAAACGCCGGTTTCTTACCGTGAACTATACATGTAGTACTGTAACAGCGAGTAATTTATTGCACTGTCGGTTAGACGGAAATGTTACTACAAAATGTTGCCCTCAAGGTAAAGCGATTGGTAAATACTGTTTCTCTGTCTCCTGTAAAGCCCTTTGACATTCAGGGGCTGGGTTTAATGGCAGTTTACCAATAGGAGGTATTTGAAATACGCCATTCATTTCACACATTTACATGCAAGCGTGCTTATCATCAACTACAAAGGACAAGCATCGTGTTTTCCCTAACGAAGACACGAAACTCTAAATTCGACAAAGTACCGGTTAAAATTGCTTTAAATCGCGAAAAGCCAAAACAGAGTACGAGTTTTAAGTTCTCCGACACCTTTCTGGTGCGAATTTTCGCACAGTTGAACAATAAAGTTACCTAAGCTAATCATGCATACCAAACAGCATGTTAGTCGAAACAACACGCAAGGGCCAGGCAGTGTTAAAACAAGCGACGCCTAAGAAACTCGGTTAAATTAAACATCGCTCTTACCAGCATAAAACTGTTTCGTCTCCCGTTCGGCTGCTCCTTAGAAAGCTTCGAAATTATCGTCTCCAAATTTTGTCTAGAGGAGAAAGCGAAATCATTATAATTACAATCAATTTTCACACCAAACACATGTGCGTGCTAACAATCCATTCAGCGAGGCGCCAACAGAAGTATATATCTTGAACAATGTGCAAGGCTTTAGTTAAGCTAAAACCACACCAAAATTACCCCTTTCTCGTTTCTCCAAATTCCCCCATCACAATCCCTGGTCGAATGGTCTTCGCTGTTGTCAAAGCATCAAATTTGGAGAACTAAATACGAGATTATTGTTAGCGGCGAAAGGTCAACACGTCTAATGCCTCCACCATCTTTGCATTCCTGGTCGTTCTAACTGGAACCCTGGTCAGCGGTTGCTTCTCGTCACGCGAACTTGACACGCAATCGACACAGAGAGGTGATAGACTGGGTCAAAGTCACGCAAACGTACCCTCCAACGATCACGTTTTCCATCGCGAGAAATGCGTTATCCTTCTAAAAAAGCTTTTAAATAGTTACGCTCATTTGAGCACGGAACTAGTATCATCAATATGATAAAAACGTTTCTCCTGTTGGAAATTTTTGGGGCAGTCGCATGTGCGTGATAGCTCAGTATTTTCTCCAAGACAGGATCACGCAATTATTAACATAAATTAACATGAAAATGTAGTGGACAGATTAACACGAAAACGCATCCACAATGAGCGGTTTGAAAGCGCAAAATTCGCGACCATTAAAAGAAACAACTTATTTTTTTAAAGTTGTTCCGAAATTAATTTAACAAAATTAGTTTTATAATTACCGTTAGTGCCGCAGAAGAAAACAAACACTCCTTAGATCTCTTAATTTTGACCAGATTTTCTGGTCACGAGATGATTGTCAGCGACACGAGTCTCCGCTGTTACCTTGCGGACGGATGGTGACAAAGGTAGAATTAACTTTCAACATCGCCCTCTGAACAGGAAACTTTTGACATCACCACTGAACTGGCTTGTGAGATGTTTTTTACCCGCTCACGCACACAGGAGGTGACGAAATCACAACAACTCAGGTGATTTGAGCTACAGGGAAGATTCCAGAAACGTTGTCGTCTCTCTAACTCTCGGTATAATGAACGGAAAGCTCTCTTCTATAGTGAACTGTTACATTGGTAAAAAGTTTCTCTCTTTAACACCCTATGGACATTGATATATATATTTTTTCGAAAACGAAATCAACCGGTTTTGAAAAAAGTCATCATGAATAATTGATATTCCCAATTCATAATAAAAAAAATAACAATTGTGTCAAAAATTTGGCCTAAAGGTGATGTTTTATTTTTAAATTTTATTTCTATATTGTAGAGACCACGACGGCTTCGACGTTCTATTTATCAATTCATATTTCGAAGAAATGAAACTAAATTTGGACGAAATCCTGTCGGCTCGAGCTGACTAAAATGTGCTTTGTTCACGAGTAATTTGTTACAAAACTTTAAGTCAAATCAAAACTTAAACTAAAACAACTTTGTCGGTACCCCGAATTTCTCCGAGAACTCGAGATTTAACATTAACACTCGTTAATAGTAAACATGAAAATGTTTCTTCAAAATCATGGACGTTGAAAAAGTTAAGATTACATCAGAGACTCGGTGCACAAGAAAAAGTACAAAAAAGAATGTATAAAAAGCAACAACAACAACATAAAATTTGGAAAAATTCTCTAAACATGCTGATGAATTTCAATTTAAGATCTTTGCGTAGGTTTACCTTTGCAGGATGTTGACAGTCCTTCAGATGAAGTTAATCATAGATTTAATTTTCACTCAACTGTGTGAAAGAAAATACCAACAATTCGCAAACAAATATTTGTTCAAAATTATGAATTGAACCTGAATATTAAGGCGCCAATGAGAAAAGTTAAATACAATTTAAAATAAAGTTTGGTCAAGAAAACAGTTTGTTTGATCCGAGCTTATTATGATTTCTGTAACTCGAAGCGACTAAGAGTAGTGCTGCTCTCCCCAAAGATAGTAATCTAGTTCATCGCAGTTTATTCCACATATAACTTTTATTGATTTAAAATCTGAGTACAGTTAACATCTGAAGTTACACGTTTTACGGCAGCTGATTCTCACAGTGTGTACTCCACACTGTCCTTTATAACGCTGGCAATGTTCTGTGCCCCATCGGTCAAAACAGGCTATAAGATAGAAATATATTTTTTTTAGTGTCAACTCAAAGTTATGACGCATTTTGAAAACGATCAATTGACAATAAACTACCATACTCTACAAAATATACTGAGGTTAAAAAAAAGAATGTGAAGATGATTTAATTAAATTACTTGAGGCTTCTAATTGCGCATGCCTCGCTGTTTTCCCTAGTACATGTACACCATATATTCACTTAAAGACCTGTCATTGTTTGGGATCGGTAATTATTTAACTTTGGGGGGGGGGGTTTGCTGCGTGAAATTAGTTGCAACTGATGTGAGATGATAGTTTTGCTTACGTCGTTTTGTGGGTGGAGCAGGGGTTGGAGCACATCCTTGTCCGTAACCTAATCGACGAAAAAGAGGAGGATGGTAATTCAATCAAAAATAAAATGAAACCAAAATGTTATTGATATCAGAACGGAGATGAAATTTAAAATAAAAAATTCGCCGAACCTCCCATGGCGATTTTATGATTGATCCAATCCACATAGGAGCTTATGCGGGTGAAAACGGTGTAAGTGGTCTCTGCTTCACACCGAGGATGTCCCCAGCTCACAGCCCCATGAAGTACAAAATGCCCATTTTCTTTACAAACAAATGGACCTCCACTGTCTCCCTGGCAGCCGCTGATCACATTTCCTGCTGTCGCATATCCAGCGCATACCATGCTGTGTTTATCCACTGGCACAATATCTTTGTTGGCCACTGCACATGTCTGATGCTCCACTACTGGCATGACAGCTTGTTGAAGGATTTTTGCTGGTTTTCCACCGCCGATGATTCTCCCCCAACCTATAAAAATGTCCTAAGCTTAGTCTTGAAGATATTAGTTTTCGTCTGTCACGAATTCTTAGTTCGGCACACTAAGTGACAAGCCCTGAAGAATATCACAGAAGGTTAGAGGAGCCCTAAACAATAAATCGCTCTTTCTTTCGGTTGACCGACGTAATAACCTGCTTGTGATGGTGGGAGATCACGAGAAACGTTTGTAAATCACTCACCTTTCGCCTCGTGATTAACAAACTTTCTTCGTATTCTCCCAGCATCACAAGAGGTTTATTACACCAGCCAAACAACAGAAAGTGTAGCCTATTGCTTTTAATTTATAAAATAAACTTAAAACAAAGCACATTATGTTTCAAGTTTCTATGGGTTTCCTGGTGAAACAAACTATAAGTTTTCGACCAATCAGGGTGTATTGCGCAAAATTCTAATTTCTTTGCGCATTATAATTTGTTGACGTAACAGATGTAATTGTTAAGATTTTCTATCGCTAGACAGTGTTATGGACACCTAGAACCAATGGATTTCGAATCTTCGATCCATATCCATGAATTTTGTCATAACATTCATCCGTTCTTTATTGTAATAAAATATCGAGGTTTGGAACCTTTGGTAAATTAATGTCCTAACACACCGTCACATTCGAAATCCATTGAGACGTGAACACGAAGATAATGGATCCAGAAAAAGCGAAAACAGACCGGAAGAATGCCAGAACAATCTTCACAAGGAAAAGGAATGAGCTGCTGAGATCTGTCCGCGACAGAAGAATAGCAGATGTGATTGAAGACGATTATGCTGAGCTCGTCAAAGCATGGAAGGAATTAGAAGGTAAACACAACGCCTATATAGAGCTCCTGAAGGATGACGAGATGAACACAGCAGAAAATTGGCTCGAAGAGCTACAAAGCCTCTACACGGACGCGAGAAATTTAAAATTTGAATACATAGAAAATGAAACAAGAGCGCGCGCAGAAAAAGAACGCGATGAATCCGCAAGCAAAGAAAAGGAATGCATCCTCAACAAAAGGAACACTGCACGCGCAGTCTTTGATGCCTTATATGGTAATGCTTCCCATACGATGGAAAACGAAAAGGTTACAACGGCGCACATGAAAAACTTGCAAAGTCAGCTTGAAGAGGCTTTTGTCGACTGTAAACAAAAACACGAAAAGTTAATCGAGCTCATTGATAAAGACTCCGCAGAACGAGAATTGCGGTGGATTTTTGACGTTCAACAACGCTACAGTGAAATTTCAGAATTAATGGCAACCCGCGTCGATGAAAATGAAAGCAAAACCTTCATCAAATCCAATGACGGAGCAACCCTTAAGCTTACCAATGATGCCATGAAACCTAGCAATATTCACCTAGAGAAGATCAAAATGCCGAGATTTGATGGCGAGTTAAGAGATTACCCCCAATTCAAACGAGACTTCGAGAAACAAGTTATGCCCAATTTGAATATTAATACCGCACCTTATACGCTAAGATCCTGCTTAGGAATGGAACCCCTTGCTCATGTAAAAAGCGTAGACGACGACATCCAAGCAATGTGGGAGCGACTAGACTCCAAATACGGCGATCCTGCAAAAGTCGCTGATGCCATCATCAATTCCATTCAGAATGTTAAATGTATTAAGGAAGGTGAGCACAAAAAGTTCATTCAATTCGTCAATGTAATTGAAGAAGGCTATCGCGATCTATGCAACCTAAAATTGGAGAAAGAGATAACTACAACTAGCTCGATCAGCATCATTGAGAAACGATTACCCCCTGACGTAATGAAAGAATGGGCGAGATTAGTCAGCAACGACACGAGCACCATTGATAAAACTGATAAGTTTCCAAGTCTATTGAGATTTCTACTGAACCTGAAGAGAGCTCTTGAATACCAGAACGCAGAGTTACGCCTGAGCAGTGAAAAAATTAAGGGTTCCGTGAATCATACTGACAAGAAAGATGACAATCCAGTTGAACAACAACGAAATACCAAACAAAACAGACAATGCCTAATTCACGAAAATGGTAACCACTGGACAAGCGAGTGCCGAGTATACCTCTCCAAACCGATTGAGGAAAAGGAGAAGATTGTCAAGGAGAAGGGTGCTTGCTGGTCGTGTTTGAGACGTGGACATCGCTCGCAACAATGTCGAAGCAAACGAATCTGCAATGTCAATAATTGCAAAAGAACACATCACAGTACACTGCATCAAGAGAAGAAAGTAGAACCCTCGCCCAAACAAGAAGAAACGCCACCTTCAGTTTCTGGCACGGCAAGTGTATGCGACAGCACTGACGTTGACACCTGTTTACTTCAGATACAGAAAATACGAAGTCCAAAAGGTTGGGTTAATGTCTTGTGGGATAATGGAGCATCCCTTTCCTTTATTACAAATGCAAAAGCAGAGGCAGAGAAACTGAGAGGAACCAAAGTTCAGCTATCTCTGGTTAAGGTTGGAGGAGAGAATGAAGCCCTGATTTCATACAAGTACAAACTTCCTCTATTTGACCTACAAGGCAATCGGATTTACTTTGACGTGTACGGGATAGACAAAATCACTTCAGACATCATGAACGTTAAGATAGACGGGATTGCAAAACATTTCAATAACATACCAAAAGAAGATCTTGTTCGACCCACTGGTACCGTCGATGTTTTAATAGGCTATGAATACGCCAACTATCATCCTCAGAAGGAGAAGAACGTCGACCACCTCCTACTCCTAAAGAACCGTTTCGGTAGATGCCTTGGCGGGACACATTCTTTAATCAAGAATATGAATGAAGAGCAACCTCTTAGAAACATCAGAGCTCATCATGTACGAGCAGTAAGAATCGAAGATTTCTATAACATCGAGAATCTCGGGATCAATTGCAATCCGCGCTGTGGAGGCTGCAAATGTGGCAAATGTTCAGTCGGAAGTAAAAACTACAGCATCAAAGAGGAGAAGGAATTAGCACTAATCGACAAGAATTTGAAATACGACGAAGAAAATAAGGTATGGATTGCCGGGTATCCATGGATCAGAGACCCTTATGAACTTCCTGACAACAAGCGCGTAGCATTCAGCATGCTCATGTCAACTGAAAGGCGACTCATGAAAAATAAAGCTCACGCTGACGTCTATCAAAAGCAAATAGAAGATATGATTGCTAGAGGTGTAGCAAGAAAACTCTCCCAGGATGAGTTACAAAGCTATAAAGGACCAATCCACTACATTTCTCACCACGAAGTCCTGAAACCTGACTCAAAATCGACCCCCGTGAGAATCGTCTTCAACAGTAGTGCGAATTATATGGGACACGTCCTAAATGAGTATTGGGCCAAGGGTCCAGACTTACTGAACGAATTACTAGGAATCCTGATACGATTCAGAGAAAATGAAATCGCCATCATTGGAGACGTAAAGAAGATGTATCATACTGTCAGAACTCAGGAAATTGATCACCATACTCATCGCTTCCTATGGCGTGACTTCAATACAATTCAACATCCCAATACATACATCATACAAAGGGTTTCCTTTGGAGATCGCCCCTCTGGGACCATAGCGACACTGGCATTACGCAAGACAGCAGAGCGACTCAAACAGCAATACCCTGAGGCAGCAAACGTAATAATCAATAACACCTACATGGATGACCTTATCGAAAGTGTTCCTACGCTGAAAGACGCCAAAAACCTTGCCTCAGACATGGAGAAAGTTCTGATCACAGGAGGATTTCAGATTAAAGAGTGGATGTATTCCTATAACGCAAGCCATGTTCAATCAATCCTACCAGTTACACCCAACACAGCGACGGAAAAGGTCCTTGGTGTCGAATGGAATACTAACCAAGATGAACTTTGCTTCAAGGTCAAGCTAAATTTACAAGGCAAAATGAAGAAGAAGAATCCCAAGCCCATCGCTTGTGACGCTTTGACAAAAAGGAAGATCCTGTCACAAGTGAACAGCATATACGATCCACTCGGACTAGCAGGACCAGTTACTGTCAAAGCTAAGATCCTCATGAGACAACTATGGATAAGTGACCTCACCCTCGACTGGGATGATCCTATACCATCAGATCACACGAAAGACTGGATGATTTTCTTCGATGATCTGCCAGGAATGAATGAAGTGAAAATAAGAAGATGCATGAAAGCTCCTAATACCGTAGGAAATCCTATCCTCATCATTTTCTCTGACGGGTCGACAAACGCGTATGGCGCATGTGCATATGCTAGATGGAAACTGACAACAGGAGAATTTGATAGTCATCTCATCATATCTAAAAACCGCTTAACACCTGTAAAGAAAATATCCATCGATCGTATCGAACTTTGCGGAGCTGTACTAAGCAGCAGATTGAAAACAACTATAACATCCCACTGTAGATACAAGTTTGAAAGAATCATCTATATTGTAGACTCGCAGATTGTCCATGCCATGATCCAGAAGGAGAACTATGGTTACAACACATTCGCAGCCGTTCGGGTGGGAGAAATCCAAGAAAACACAGATCCCGAAAACTGGTATTGGACAGAGAGCAAAAATAACATCGCCGACTGGCTGACCCGCGGAAAGAAGTCAAATGAAATTGGCATGTACACTTTGTGGCAAAAAGGACCGGATTTCCTGAAGCTGCCTGAATCTGCATGGCCAATCACACGTACTTATACACAACGGCATGCAAACGTAATCACACATACCAAACCAGATGAAGCTGTAAACGATTCACTCGCAAAACGAATAAACATTGATAGGTTCTCAACCTACAATAAGCTTATCCATACAACCGCTCGAATTCTAGCAATGTATAATAAGACACACAAGATGACATTTAAAAATGCCTCAAGACCGCTCACACCAGATGATATCTCGAAAGCAGAAACATTTTGGATTCATGAAGCTCAAAAATCAATGCAACGTGACATAGATAAAGGGAAATACAAACGACTTTGTCCAAGGAGACGCGATGATGGCATATACGTCGTAGGTGGCCGCGGTGAGAGATGGATCGAGATGAGTTATAACAAAACCGAGGTAATACTTCTGCCATATCAACATCGCCTCTCACGCCTTTATGCTGAGCATATTCACAGAAGAGGCCATCTCGGATTCCTCGCGACGGCCAGCAAGGTGAGATCAAGATTTTGGATCACGAAGTTGTTAAAACTAACCAAATCCATCAAATACAACTGCATTATCTGTAGAAAGCTTGAAAGAAAACCAGAAGAACAAATTATGGGAAAACTCCCAATAGAGAGGCTGAAACCCGCACCCCCGTGGAATTCCACTGCGATTGATTATTTCGGACCCTTCAAGATTAAAGACGAAGTCAAGAAAAGAACATTTGGAAAGGGATATGGAGTACTGTTCAACTGCATGGGAACCAGAGCTGTCCATATCGACATAGCTCCTGATTACAGTACCGATAAATTCCTAATGGTACTAAGAAGATTTGTATCGATCAGAGGATACCCTTCCAAATTGTATTCTGACAATGGCAGCCAATTAGTAGCAGCAAGAGCCGAGCTAAAGAAAGTCATCAACGACTTAGATAAGAAACAGCTATTAGAGTTCGGAGTAATGGAAGGATTTGAATGGAAGTTCTCATCAGCAGATGCCCCCTGGCAAAACGGTGTATCGGAAGCACTTATTAAATCCGTGAAAAAAGCAATCACATTAGCTATTGGTGAAAGCGTTCTAACCTTCTCCGAGTTACAAACCATTTGTTACGAAGCGGCAAATCTTGTAAATGAACGACCAATCGGCCGACATCCTACATCAACAGATGATACCTATCTTTGTCCCAATGACCTCCTCCTTGGTAGAGCAACATCAAGAGTACCAAGTGGACCTTTCAAAGAGCCGTCCAACATCAAACAGCGCTTTGAACTTATACAACAACTAACTGACTCATTTTGGCGGAAATGGACTCGAGACTACTTTCCAAGCTTATTAGTCCAACAAAAATGGCACACGGCCCAGAGAAACCTTGAAATTGATGACATTGTTCTTATCCAAGATTCTAACGCGAAAAGAGGACAATGGAAACTTGGGAAAATATCAAAAGTTTACAAAGGGGAAGACGGGAAGGTCAGACGAGCCCTCGTCGAATATAAAAATCCCAAGCCTGGCGAAAAAGTGACCGAATACAAAGGGAAAGGCTTTACAACTATCGAACGACCAGTTAACAAGCTGATAACTATCCTACCTGCATCAGAACACAAATGAACTATCTCAAAACATTTTGGCAATAATAACTCTGAACTATTATGTGTAATTCTGAAATGATTTTTACCGAAAACTTTAAACAGTCTGTAATTGCCGGCGGGGAGTGTATTGCGCAAAATTCTAATTTCTTTGCGCATTATAATTTGTTGACGTAACAGATGTAATTGTTAAGATTTTCTATCGCTAGACAGTGTTATGGACACCTAGAACCAATGGATTTCGAATCTTCGATCCATATCCATGAATTTTGTCATAACATTCATCCGTTCTTTATTGTAATAAAATATCGAGGTTTGGAACCTTTGGTAAATTAATGTCCTAACACACCGTCACACAGGGCACTCGTACTATTTCGGTTGTTTTATAAAGAATGATGTTGAACATCAAAAGTTTTATATTGCATACGCTGGCAATTATCCCTTTTCAACAATACGAACGCGAAAAGTCTTCATGTTAGGGCCTGTCACAAATGCAATAGATTGATTTAGTGTTTCGCCGCCTCGCGAAAACTGATTGTAAAGAAAGTTGATATTTTTGCATGCAAGGGTAGCGTTACAAAATTTGAGAATTTTCCAAGTTTCTTGATAGATTCTTACTCGCTCCCATATTTCAAAGAAAAATAAATAACCCAGTTCCACGGCCAGGGTTATGTTCATGACGTGAGTACAAGACTTTGATTGGCTACCTGTTATGTAACAGTTGGTTCCGGCGGGAACCTGTCGACTTTGCTGTGGTAAGCAAACGATGTTAATCCTGTCACTCAGCACTACCGGTTTGGCGAGTGTGAGCAGGGCGATATCGTTTTGTATATGTTTCATGGAGAATCCTTCGTGATAACAGACAGCAGCCACGTCTATCAGTTTTTCTGCACCTTCTTCTACGGTCTGGTCGTGTTCACCTAGGAAAGAAAAAAGAAAGAAAAGGAAAGCATTAAAAAGAGGAAAGAGGAAAGGGAGGAGGAAAGAAGGGAAGGGAAAGAGGGAAGAAAAAAAAGAGAAAAGAGAAAGAATATTAAAAATAAAAAAATCGTGTGAAGTGAATGAGAAATAAGAGTTCCTTGAAAGTTTTCCAGATGAATGGCGTAAGGACGATACGAATAAACCTAAAGACAAAGAAAACTACGCATGCACACAGATCTCTAAGGCGGAGCGTTTAATACACTCCTGAATGAATAAGTTCTTCAACGGACTTCAAAGTCTCAGTTGCTTTTTCATCTGATCGCTTTTGACTAAGAAAACACTATTCGTATTCCAATTACCGTGAAGAAAGAGTACTTCTCTCATAAATCCAACATATATTACATCCTTAGAAGAGCCTGCATGTTACGAATAAAAATACTTTTACTTAGTTGGTGTCTTCTAAAGGAAGCCCATCTCACAAGCAGCTGAACCCTTTCGGTTTTGTCAATGACGACTTCCATCACACAAATTGCGAAGAGTAAAAACAGCAAACATGAGATTTCCAAGCGAAAGACAAATACCCTATCACGCGGTATTTAAGGACGAAATTAAGCTTACCTACGACAACTTTGTAACGACTCGGAGCGGCATTTTGCACGACACAGTGTGCTGCGGTGACAACATGCGTCGGAGAAATGAGAGATCCTCCGCAAATGTGATACAGTTTTCCTCGCGCTTTAACTCTCAAAGATATCTGCCAAGGCCAGGAATTTGGCTCAGCATTAATTCCACCCACCACACGTGTAGAAATTGGTCGCTTGCCGCATCCTGCGGAGAAGAGGGTACAATAATTACGGTATATGACCTTAAGTAACCCACAGTGAGGTAATGGCATATAAACCATCAAGCCTGATGGTTTAGAACTTTGCTCCGGAAATCGATTCAGCTTCATGCTTCTTACTATATCTTACTATCATTTGCTTTTGGGCATTTAGCATCCCTTTCGAAAAAAGATTTTGGAAGACTGCGGTTGTAACACAGGTAAGCACCGATATTCCGACAAGGATATCTTACTGATCATCAGACTTTAAATTAAATGGCTAGGTTTTTATAAGTGGTGCGAGGAGAACTAAAAGATAACAAGTACTTATTGCTTATAAATCAATGAAAAAATGATCAAATTATGCTTAATTTATTCTGGAGTAAAGCTGAAGACGTTTGATTCTAACAAATAGTCTTTCAACAATTCTTAGGGGTAATTTAGCTTAGTCAACTCTTTTTTTCTTCTGCCTTGACGAAGGGCTAACGCTCGAAACGTCAGCTCAAGAAACTCTTTACGGTGGCTAATTTGCATTATCAACTCAGTTCATAAAACCAAAGTATCCCATAAAACCCCACATACGCAGCGCTACGGTTTCTTCAGAGACTTACCCCTTAATTCCTAGGAATAGTTTGCTATATTTCTTGTAGTCGAGAAATGAGGACTGTGGAATGAATCTTAGAGAAATAGCGTTCGGGTTCGTAAGTCTCCAAAGTCTAGACGAAATGTCTCATGTTTGCTATTTGCCTACCACGTTAACCTTTCCTCTCTTGTACCAGGCTTTTTCAGTTGCGAGTTTTATTTCGCGCACAGTATTTCACACCGTAGGTTTAATTGTACAGAACGATAAACTCCAAAGATTCAAAAGAAATTCAACATAAAATGATACAGCATAGTTAATTAAACTGGTAGTGTTGAATGCTATTCAAAGAAATCATTGCTATTTCTGTACCTTGATTTCCATGGGCAAGAGTTAACTCTGAGAGCAAAAACACTACAGATAGCATTACCGAGCCCATCCTGATGTGAAGTCTTGAACGCTGGAAAACTCACTTTTGCCTCTAATGTACGAAGCTTAAGTATGGCCTTCGAGCAAGCTAACATCTGCTCTATGGTGCTGCTGTGACGTTTCGCAATAGTAGATGTCAAGTTTTCCGAGTGCGAGCAGATTTCCAAGCACACGTGGACCAGCTGCACCGCTGATGTAAACACTTCAACCGGACGATGCACTTCATGCTATTTATTTCGTTTAGTCTTTATTTTTGAAATTGAAAAACAAGAGACAAATACAATATATTTGTCTTATGTGTGCCAAGTTAGGAAGAAATGATTCCACTGTCAGAAAGAAGATACAAGGATTGCAGGTTTATTCCATGTCATGACTAATATTTTAACAGCCGTTTTTTTTTTTCTGTTTTTACCCTATTCTTAATGATAAAACTTATTTTTTCACATATCTGAAAAGTGAAAAGAAGAAGGAAAATCTACCTTTCACTCTTACAAGAGTTTCTTACCGGGTCATTACCAAAATTATTGAAATCTAATTGTAGGTCACCTTCACCGTAACAACTAATTGCGTTAAGATCATCCAGTTGAGAATTTTCTGGCTGACGACCATGACTAGCACATTTTATTGAAAAGTCGACCTCTTCCAGTAAACTTTACATATCTGTTCTCACTAAAATTATCGCATTAGTTAATCGACCATTCCCCTTAACCAGAGGCGAATCTTTAAAGGATATCCACCACTTCATATTTCAAGCAAATTTTATCCTATTTTCAGATTAAATTTGAATCATTTCTAGGGAGAATGCCCCAGACCCCCACATCAGCTTCCATATAAGCAAGCCCCTCCCCATTACTCATAGAAAGTCCCTAAAAATTTACGATCAGCCATTGAGTAGCGTTTTATTTCACATTCTGTCTCATAATGCTATCCCAAAATTAACTCTGTTAACCGCAATATGTCTTTTTTTAGTTTGGCCCTTCCGCGCGATTTCGGGCTAGAGATAGACATTATGGTCTAGACCGTGTGCTCGCAAGGGAGCAATCTTTGCGTTTTGAATATCATGTTTTCTCTCAGGCTTTCAAATCTAGTAAGTGGTATTTCGTTTAATTTAGTTCCCTTTTTTCAAATGTATTTTTTCCCCTTTTTAGTCAAACCAGATCGCACGAGTCGTATTAACAGATTATACAGATTCCGAGTTAAACATTTATCCATGCAGGCTACACACTCCTCCAGGAAGGAAATAAGATGAAGCAAATAGAGCAAAGAGGAATCAGTTGATATGATAGATAGTTTTTATGTGGATTTTTGAATTACAGTGCGAGAATTCGAGTTCTCAGTTCTACAATGAATCATAAGTTTCATGTCATGCGATCGTTGTTGCGTCAACTCTGTTAATATGTATTCCGCTGTTCTGTTTCTTTTGTGTCTGATTTTTTGAGACATATACGACGCTCAGCTGAAAATTGATTCACGCTTACGTTCATTTCAAATGTTTGAGGGTGAGGTAATATGACAAAGTTGGTTAGTACCTCACTGAGCTTATCACAAGACAGCGTGCTTTAACTGAGCCAGGTGCAATCTCAAAACAGGAGTGAATCAGCTCGCAAGGAAGATAAATGCAAAGTACCAGTCTCTTCAGTACTTCTTACAACGTAACCTTTACGAAGTACAAATCATGGTACCTGTGTATTCCTACTCAGAAGCCCTTCAATTCCTAAATTTAAGAACATTAGACGAGAGACGTAGTGAACTCTGTTAAAACTCTTGAAAAGATCTCAAAAGAAGGACATCGATTAAATATCTCCCAATGACGAGACATTGCATGCACCACTATCAAACGAGATGCGCTAACAAATATACATTAACTAAATGCAGGACTGAAAGATAGCGCCGTAGTTTTTTCCAAGTACTAGTTTAGCTTTCAGAAATCAATAGACTTTTAGACCCTATACCTACATATATATTTTAACTTCTATTTGTAATTTTAATACAAAATCTATTGTAATCCAGTCCCTTATTGATTAATAGTATGTGATTCTTATAGTTGTAAATTTGTAACCACATTGTACTTCAGATTAACAGCGATTATGGTGGAATTAAACTTCTTTTTTCATTATCATTATTACTATTATTATTTTTACAACGGTAAGGCACAAAACTTTAACTTTTTCGAAATGCACTAAACTATTTGTGACAACATCGGCGTGCGTTTTAAGTACGACATTTTTCTATGTTTCAATGTATCGATCAAGAGTAAGATTAGGAAGTAGGTAAGGTTCTGCTTAAACGCTTATATAGTTTCAAATAGAAGATCTCATTGGGGTTTAACCGTTAGCGGTAAAAAAAACTGAAAAATCTAACCGTCATCGTGAGAACTCAACCGTTAGACGTAAGGCGGCCCAAAAACTGAACCTGAAGGCGTAAAAAGCTACAAAGTTTAAAAGTTAGCTGTAAGCGTCACAACTCCATTAAGACCTACACAACAGTGACCCAGTTGCGTCCTATTGCAGCCAAACAGACCACACTAGTACAAGAAAAAGTCCCGTTCTTTCGCTTCTTTACTGTACGATACGAATTTGTCTTCATATGTAGCATATTTTACACTTTTTCCACCGCTTCCTCCTAACTCTTTTGATATTTCCCTCAGCATGGCCTTGGCATATTCTCCGATAAAATCGGACATTTCGCTGTCCTCGGTTGGGTTTTCTTCCAAGATTTCTCTTGCGTCTGTGAAGGAGTCGTTCAGTATGGCCACAAAGAAGTTCATCATGAAAACAGTCATACCGGAAAAATAAAAAAACATGAAGAACGGCCCCAGAGAACGGTTTATGGCTTCCAGCTCGTCATAATTAGTTCCTTTGCCAAGTATCATCTCGCAGACGTTCACCAATGACCTCGTGAATGTAGAAAACATGTACGCTGAACGTCCAAACAGCATGTTACCTATGACGGCAAATGCCAGAAGAGCCACAAGGAATACAAGTGAATACGATGTCATAGGACCTCGGGATACATTTATGCTTTTCGCCAACTGGGAGATATGCTTATTGAACTTCAAGATGCGAAGGAACTTCAGTGTGGACAGAAAGGTAACCATGGAAATAACCACATTTTCAACGTCTGTCCATAACGCAACATAATCAAAACTCATCCGGCCATAAGGATTTTCATGAACTTTCGCGACGAGTTTTCTGGTTTGTTCGGCTTTGATGAAGAATATCACCATAGCTGTAAGTGTGAGGCATATCAATGTCCACTCGTGAAAACTCCATATGTCCCTCAAGTAAGCCCAGCCCGACTGACGCATTTCGCGTATTTCTATGTATATAGAGTATACGAGTATTAAAACAATGATTACGTAACATGCAATAAAAACTGAGCCGGTGTGTGAACTGGTGCTGCGGGAAAACGAAATGGGGTCAATACGATAAGATATTTCCATGCCTCCTGTAGGTAACCACTCGAAAGAATATCGAGTAAAAGCGAACAGATTTGTCGCGGGCTCAAATGTAACGAACTCAAACAACACAATAACTGTCCGTCTGTTAATCCAGTTGTCAGCAATAAGGTTGGCAATGACCTTCCAGGCAGTCTCATTTTCATATCCTAACTCTGCTACAAGTCCGCCACCGTAATAAGTGCCGAATGCTGTGATAATAGGTAAAGTGCCTAAGGACGTTGCATCCTGGAATTTGACGGTGTGGTCACACGTGATTGGCACGATGGAAAATATTTCTTGGATGCTTTCATTGGTGTAACTGCTACCATTAATACTGTTGCTAATATCACTGTAACCGCTGTTGCTGCCAGTTCCGATATCGTCATAAAATGGCGAGACATCAATTAACTCCAGGCTTGAATGGCCCTCATCAAGGTTGCTGCCTTGGTACTCATGATAACATCGAGGAAACCAACGTTTAAACTCTGGATAAGCAGACCAAGTAAGACATGGCTCTAAAATATGAAAAAAATTTTTACATCAGCTTGATAATCCTTAACAAACTAATACAAAAACCATATTTACTAAAACTCTTTTTGTATGAGTGGTACATATGGCACACTAGATGGTTAGTTGACAAAACTGGGCAGGAAAATGATGCCTTAATGTCTAGAACCCCAAATGTGTTGTTATTGTGGATCTTGGGCCATATCCTTTGACGTAGTATTTGCTTCGTTTTATTTGTTTTTACCATTTTTGACCTCAAAGAGTTCGAATGCTTGAGTACATGGCAAGGCAAATAATAGCGTATTCGTTTCAACTTAAATGTTAGCGTGTCTAAAGCAGAAGTGTTTTGAAAATGAGTAGAGATAACTCTGCTAAACCGCTTTATCAAAATCGTCCTATCATTAAGATTGATAACAGGAGTTTATAGAATGGTTTAATTTTTTTGGTTTTAACCTTATTGCAATACCTGGTTTTATACGCAGCTGCCGTAGTCGGGGAAGGCCGACAATAAACGCCCTCTTATTTGAGAAGAAATCTTCCTCTTCAAATGGTTGTCCATTGTACCATGGGGCACTGTACAAGCCAGGAAGCATAAATTTCTCGCACCACCACCAAAATGTGTGTACATTCTTGACCTACAGTAAGAGAATTTGCGCATGAGAGTTGGATACAGAAACAATATACCAAACAGAGATGGCTTCTGGATTTTCACTGCTTCATTATGGAAGCACAGAAGCCGGCCTGTAATCGACACGGACGGCCCTGTTTAGTTTGATAACATGTATGTCTGACCCATTCTTTGTTTCTATGCCATTTGGTATCACGCCATATGACCGGGCTGACAATTAAGTTCTGCTTTGAGATAACTAGGAGTATGTTATGACACCCTTGATAATACACATACAAAAATTTCAGCGTGCTGATAACCTTATCAGCATGATAAAATTTTTGTATGTGTGATGGCTTTAGTTTAATGGTTACTGCTATCGACTTATACCTAACAGAATAAGATTGCAAACGCTCAGTTATTCTTTAGAGGAAAGCCTGGCAACACAGAGAACAAGGCATGGGGAAGCAGCCGAACTGGAGAGCCATGACAAGATATAAAGAAAACTTCAAAGGAAAACAGAGTCATATATTTGCTTGTGTATTATTAACCAGTAATCGCATGATTTTCTCGTACAATTTGGGATAAATCAGCACTCGTAAGCTTTTCCAAGACTACAAATTGCGCTTGCCTTACGGGTTCAAGCAATTTGGTTAGCCTTTGAAAATTTTACCAATACTGATTTATCCAAAATTGCACTCGAAAGCATGTGATTACCTATACAAATTGTGATGAAAATTTTCAGTATTCAGATTTCACAGACATGATTACAAAAATAATTTTATCAGTAAATAGCTACCAAGGAATAGAAATAGAGGCAGATGAAGTAAGAGCAATCTCGAAAGCTCTTTTAAAATTCCTTCCTCTACTTAAAACTGTGACAAAGAGCAACTGATGAGAAATGCGTATTACTTCATAGCCTACCTTGTCAAGTTTTGCATTGAAGATGTCCTCCATGTTTTTGTTCAATCTAAATCTGTCGCTCCCTATACCTCCGTAACAAACTACCGCCAAAAGTAGGGCAAACACAAAATGTAATGCAAATTTAAAGACAAATTTCCACATTTTAACTTCCTTGACCCTCTTTTGTCTGGCAATTGCCACTTTAAGTGGATCAGGAGGAGTGTAAAGCTCCGACAGCGTCTTAGGGCTCTGCAGCTCATCTTCAACTGATTTGAGCCCTCAATTTCTGTGCTTGAAATCTCCGCGACCTC